TACCACCAGCATATACCTGTCACAAGTTCATTAACAGATAGAATTAATCATTCCAGTGTCGCATCAGAGATCGAGTTACCAAACTATTCGGGGTAACGCACGATTCATTTTATACTGTGATTACCACATACATGTATGGATCTAAAAAGCCATTATATAAGTCTATAATAACGCATAACAATTTCACTATTATTTAGAAATGTCTTAAATACAAAACATTACAACAACTATAAACACTATTATATATTGCGTGTTCAAGTAACTAGTAACTTGTGTCATGCGCATATCCATTCAAAGATTGGATTATACTATCAGAAGCACGTGCACGGGTGAAATGTTCGTTAAAGAAACAACAAATTGGACCAAATGCCTTATGATTTTCTGAAGAAAGACGGTAACCCGAAGCTATAATCTTCTTCCTTACAGAATGCATGGAAATGTAATTGATGGTGCCAGAGTCGGCAGCAGTGTACTATTTTGTCATTTGCAGCACCCTCTATTCATTTATGTACGACAAGAGAAATCCTTACTGCATAATTTGCATATACATATAACATACAACACTGCCCGTTTTATGGGGTATTTTTAAAGTGCCTGTGCAATGCCCATCCACACGTTTCCCATTTTAGATCTGTGTCCCACTGAAACGGGCAGTTATTGATTTATTTGCTGAAAATGATTACTCGTATCCAAGTAAATTTGTGATATTTCCCATGCTGTAGCCACGCCCACCTATACTGAAACGGTCGACTGTTTCCGGATTTCCGACTCTCGCCGAAAGTGCGCCACCAAATGTCAAAATATGAGAGGAAGCCATACCCCTGAGCCGTACTTTTATAACACTGCGTCATTCAACCATAGAGGGTCTATGATTCAACATACTTTTAAACGACATACATTTTTTTTGATCGGCGTTTTTTGTCTATTTTACTTTATTTTTCAGTGACAGGTTTTAAAAGTTGGTTTCACAACAAACATTTACGATGGTTAAACTTTGTGTTGTGGGCGGTCGCAGTAATATAGTCATAGTGTAAAACAAGAAAATGTTGAGGTGGACTTACAGCGTCATATGTAGCGTTCACTTCACCTCGGATTCTTTTTTTCGGAAAACTGTCCTTGTCCATGACTAAACAACTAGGTTTTAACAAACCTGGCGCGATACAACACGTTTTAAAAAAATGGATGATCACTGAGGCGGATTTCAGAAGAGAGAGAAGTCTGGCAAGTGTTTCAAATGATTTGACTTTTTATGCGATCCTGATTATCGCTTTATAGAGACCATCCGTGTTTTGTAAAAGGTAGCAGTGATATTGATAGTGACACGAAAACGACCGTCGGACAAACAGGAAATGTTCGGTGATTCGTGTTGAATGAAAACCTCCGTTACCCTTACTTGCAACTTGATCTGCGTAATAATTTATGGAATAAGAATCCGGACTTGGGCTGTCAATGTGTTTCCAACAAATAATTTTTTAATATGATGTCACGCTAAATCCATTCTGAATTTGTCTGTATGTGAGTGGCTCTCAATTATTTTTAGTTATCCAATTAAACGCGCCATTCACGCACTTGTCCCCGCCATGACTCGACGCGTTCACTACGGCAACCGAGGTGGCTCACAACATGGCATTTTATAAAACCATTTTTACAATTCATTTACATTTTGAAAACTCATTTTTACTTGTTGATCCTTTTTTAAACACCATTTTTGGTCCTGGAATCTATTTTTAAAACCCACTTTCGTTTCTGGGCTCTGTTTTTATTTTAAAAACCAATTGTTTAAATCTATTTTCATTTTCAATATCCATTTTTGTTTTCAAATTCCATTTTCATTTGCAATATCCATTTTCGTTTTCAAATTCCATTTTCGTTTTCAAATTTCATTTTCAAAATCCATTTTAATTTTCAAAATTCCATTTTCATTTTTAAAATCCATTTGCGTTTTCAAATTCTATTTTCATTTTCAAAATCCATTTTCATGTTCACATTTTGACCTGTAACCTCGCCCTCTGATCCCATATCACGTGACTAGGAATTGTAACTCTGATTCCGGATTTTTTTCCACCGGTAACGTTTCCATGGTAAGGCTTATTTACGTAAGTTCTTCTTCAGACTATACCCTATTTGGCCGTGATTCCACGGCGTTTTTGGATCCATAGGGGGTTCTTAGCTTCATCTGTCGGCTTACGCTGTGGCGTCGAATGCCTGTATATACACCGATGGCGCTGCCTTGTATACCTACAGTACCTTATCCGGTACGATAACACAGCAGACCCACAGCCATAACTTGTTCTAATCTGAGTATCAACGTTATAGCTGATAAAATGAGCTCCAAGGTTGATTAGAATAAGTTATAGTCGTGGTTTTGCTGCGTTTTGGTACCGGGTAGGGTATTGTCGGTAAACAAGGCAGCGTCGTCGGTAGGCAAGTCTGACCGCAAATGCATTTAACGCCAAAATGTAAGCCAACCGATGAAGCCAAGATCCCTTTATGAACTAAAATCGCCACGGAACCACGGCTAAAGTTATAGTCTGAAGAATAACTTACGTAAAGAAGCCTTACCATGGAAACGTCACTAGTGGAAATAAAAAAAAAAATCTATCAGGTCAAGTTGAAATGTATAAACTTGAAGTTTGTAAATTAATATCATTTATTGAGCTCACCTTACTGTATTTTCGCCCCATTATATTCGAGAATACCTCTGTAAAAAGTGGCTGGTACCCGATTACGGATCGATCAGCGTGACGACTACAATATTATCATTGCAAAGTGCATAAACAATATTCGATAATGAAATGTATTCTATATGCACACCAATTATAATTTCCATAATTACCGATTAAACGTGAATTTTGAAGACAAAACACAATTTGTTATATTCTTGATATTTTTGCATTCCATTTGTCTTTAAATATGACTGAAAGCGGCTAAATGAAGTAACAAGAAGCGTGTTCAACAACAACTTTAATGACTATAGTTTTCTTTTTTGGCAGCCCGTGCAACACTCACAAGTCAACCCTGGCGTTTAGTGTGCATGATTCCGTTTCGACGACGGTTTACGAAAAGGACATTGAGTTCATGCTATTTTTAGAGAGGTTAGATACTGCTTAACGCCATGGCTACACCCTCTCTGCATTTAATATAAAATTGGTTAATGTTCATAGACATTTTTGTATTGTGGGAAATTTGCATTGGAACTGATGTTCTGTCTTCATAAGGCAGTAGTCCTCGGCCTAGTTTGCAGAAGCACAGTAACACACACACACACATACACATACACACCCATTGTCACAGATCCGAAGATTGGCTAAGCACGCGGGAGCACATAATGAATGGTGATGACAAAGTGCATACAGTTAACTAAGCTATTTTATTCTCTAAACCTCATCAACAGATATTCATACTCAGAAATTAACATGAAACTTGTCCACCACACAACTCACGTGAATTTACATAACAAAGCCACCTACAAGACGCATGCAACCTTACATTCCCATTCATACGCAAATACCCACATCATACACTGTACAAAGCAAATACAACACTTGGCTTGGTTATGGTTAGGCTCGACAAGGTTCGCGCCAATTTTATTTATAAATTTAGCTGGCATTTACATAGCGGAAAACTAGGCTGATTTTCCTACAACACCCATGTTGACCCTTCCATATTCAATATGGAGTTTATAGATGGTGGTAATATTGTACAGTACATCTTACCTGTACAGCTGTAACATTCCTACCGCAACCAATCACACACATACCATTCTCAGCAAGTACTTTAGCCGTTTCTGCCCCGATACCTGACGACGCACCAGTCACTAGCGCTACACGACCAGCCCAGCGTTCCATGTTGCAATCAACAGTGCATGCCGAAACTCGTACAGCATGTGGGAGTTGACACAGACCTTGTGGCAGGACTCCACTTTGTGCAATTTTTTAAAATTATGCTAATTTATTCATGACGTGGCAGTTTCTGTGTTCATGAATATTCATTAATTTGTGGATCAATACATTTTAAAAGGGGCGATATATTATTTTGGGGGGAAGAGTTAGAAAGGAGGATTAGCAATCCTTAGGGGGGTCAATACAAAAGAAGGGACCCATTTGGAGAGCAGCATTGATCCTCGTGTCTGTTGTTGCACGTGATCTGCAGCTGTCAACTGTGTTCGTACTTCGACGACTTCGACTGTGAGGTAGTTTCTTGTGTTCTGTTTTTCTGACTTGAGTTCTTGATATACTTAATTGCTGTTATGTTTTTCTTTTCTTTCATATCTTGTCTTGTAGGAGTGTCCTGTCCGTAATTCGAACTTGCAATCTTCGAGTTCACAGCGCACTGTCTTGTCCACTCTAGTAGTTTGCGAAAAAACACTGGCAGGCATGGGAATTGAACCCAGGTCCTCCTGATCACTATGTAGACAACTAAACCACAAGACCACAACTGATTGACTGGATGTGTTTGCATTTGATAGGACTATATAGTGTGTGTATATATATAGAAATACAACATATTTCTATTATTGAGTTACAATTGTCCAAAAAATTGCCAATTTTGTGTTTTTACTTGTGTAAACTATATGCATGCCATAACCCGTTAGTGTACATCTTGCCAATTGGGTGTTTGCCATTTGCGTTGCCCCAACCCTAACCCTAATGCCAAGACACGTTCTTGTTAATAATTCCGTTGCCCATACCTTGACCCGACCCTAACCCTAATGCCAAGACACGTTCCTGTTTATAATTGCTCAATATCGATACTCCGTTGTGCACTGTCTGTGGGTAAGTTGCATTGATGTCAAGTGATTAAACAAGACGCGTTTAAGTAATTTCCACTATTAACAAGTGGTTAAATTGTGACAATAAATGTGTGGACAAATATTTGAGATTAATTTTGGTGTAGACAGCTCTCGTTTAATTATTTTACACCATTACAAGTTGTTAAATTGAGAGAATAAATGTATGGACAAATATTTTAGACTTATTTTGGTGTAGACATCTCTCGTTTGATTAATTCCCACAATTACAAGTTGTTAAATTGAGAGAATAAGTGTGCGGACAAATATTTTAGACTTATTTTGTGTAGACAGCTCTCGTTTAATTATTTTACACCATTACAAGTTGTTAAATTGAGAGAATAAATGTATGGACAAATATTTTAGACTTATTTTGGTGTAGACATCTCTCGTTTGATTAATTCCCACAATTACAAGTTGTTAAATTGAGAGAATAAGTGTGCGGACAAATATTTTAGACTTATTTTGGTGTAGACAGCTCTCGTTTAATTATTTTACACCATTACAAGTTGTTAAATTGAGAGAATAAATGTGTGGACAAATATTTGAGACTTATTTTGGTGTAGACAACTCTCATTTAATAATTTTACACCATTACAAGTTGTTAAATTAAGAGAATAAATGTATGGACAAATATTTTAGACTTATTTTGGTGTAGACAGCTCTCGTTTAATTATTTTACACCATTACAAGTTGTTAAATTGAGAGAATAAGTGTGCGGACAAATATTTTAGACTTATTTTGGTGTAGACAGCTCTCGTTTGATTAATTCGCACAATTACAAGTTGTTAAATTGAGAGAATAAGTGTGCGGACAAATATTTTAGACTTATTTTGGTGTAAACAGCTCTCGTTTAATTATTTTACACCATTACAAGTTGTTAAATTGAGAGAATAAGTGTGCGGACAAATATTTTAGACTTATTTTGGTGTAGACAGCTTTCGTTTAATTATTTTACACCATTACAAGTTGTTAAATTGAGAGAATAAATGTGCGGACAAATATTTTAGACTTATTTTGGTGTAGAAAAGTCACATTTAATTTACTTCCACAAATTACAAATTGTTAAATTGAGAGAATAAATGTGTGGACTAATATTTGAGACTTATTTTGGTGTAGACAACTCTCATTTAATAATTTTACACCATTACAAGTTCTTAAACTGACAGAATGAATGTATGGACAAATATTGACCATTATATTTGTGAGTAAATACCTGTTGTTAAAATAATTTCCACCTCTACAATGTTGTTAAATTGAGAGAATAAATATGTCGACAAATATTTTATACTTATTTAGGTGTAAGAACTCGTGTTTGACCAAATCCCACCATTGCAAGTTGTTAAAATAATGAAATAAATATACTGGTATCATTGGATATTTGATTTAATTGTGAAACTTTCTAACAAAATGTTAACTGCTGGCTTCGAACCCTCAATCAACAATTCCGCAGACACAGTATAAATTCCACAACACCACAGAAGATATTCGTCTGTTGCCTGAATTGTTTTCGTAATATAGGGAACGCCATTTTAACAAAACTTACCTTGACTTGGGTCTTGTTTATCTCTTGTCACAATCTGGAAACTGTTGAACAAATTGCGCGTCTTCCAGTTTAAGACGTAAGCTATTTTATTATTCATTCATTCAGTTTTGTATGGTGGAGTTTTGTGAGGTGAGACTCGAACCCACTGTCTTTTCAAGCTAATTTTGTTTTATTTTGATGGCAGGCTTGTGTACCACGTCACGACGTTGGTCGTTAAGTGGTGTTCATTTTTCTAACTACTCCATTGTTCCGATGAGTTGAACCTCAGACTAGTAATAGTCTGAGGTTGAACGGAAAAGCCAAAACGATTGCTCGTTTCTGATTGCTTCGGTTATGGAGAGTGTGTATCTAGTGTTATTCGAACCCATGTCGTTTTGTATTGGGCGTTTTTTTATTTCCCATGTTGGCTACGCCGTAATATGCAACCACTTCCCCAGTTTTATTGTGATTTTGAGAGTGTTTAATGATGTCTTCCTCGCCCGTCACGCCATGACCCAGTTTCAACCACACGGCCATTTTGCAACACAGTGCGTGACCCTCGGCGTCACCCGGCTGACTATATGATCGTTCTGTTCAACTGTTAAAGGGAGCCTAAATGCGGTCTTAATTTATAGTTGTGTATATTATAAACTGTATTTGAAATAATATTGCAGTGGTTTAATTTTGTTTTAATTATAACTGTAGCTTGGATAGGCATTCGAAGTGCTTGCAATTAAACACCATGGAGGCCGTTCATGGAGGGGAATAAATAAATAACGAACGAACATATCTAACATCCAGGTACTTTTCAAAGCTATGACGTTTTAGTGTCTGATCGCATTCGTATACGCCATTGTACATAGCCGTTCATGCTGCCAAGCATTGTGTACTACTAGTATAAACTCAACTTTTATATGCACAATGTGCTTTGTGGAACTTGGGTTAGAGCATTATGCGTTTGAACCACAGTATTCTGAGAGTGGAAGCCCAATTGCGTTAAAGTACCGTACTTCCCCGATCGTAAGCCCCTCTCGAGTATGAAGCCCATCCCTCTATTTTTACTAGGTATTTATCGAATTGAGGGCATTCACGATTATAAGCCCAGAGTGTTTTTACTGGGCTTCGACGTTATTCTTTAAAATATGCGTGAAAAAAGTGTGTTTCATTTCATAATAATCGTGATTGGTACGGTAGTTTGGTTCGTGCTTTTATGAGAAAACTCGCATTAATTTCAGAGTGCATGGCGAACGTACACAACGTGGTTCGCATCATTTCTATTCTGTCATTTACTCAGGATGAACCCCGATGTTGCAATACTGGAGTAATCCATATTTCTTTGAGTAGTAGCTTTCGAAAAGCCAAAAATGTGATCGTTAAGTTGTGTATCTGGTTATTGGGCATGGTTTACTCAGCCCCCCGCTTACTTTGACGCTATCATGAAAGGCCTAGGGTTTGAACGATGTGACATGTTGGCGACCGTGAAAGCAGGTGTTTAAATTCTTCCTCCACAATCAGTTTACCCACGGTTACTACTAACCGTCGTTTATTTTTCGGAAATTGTGAATCGCCAGTTTTGAGGGGAAAAAAATCATCGTTTTGTCGTTGCAATCAGTGCTACAGATCCATTTTAACATTGCGGTAATTCACTTCCGCATTGCGTTAAAAAATCATC